CTGTAATGCCACCACTATTATCCTACTACTGTGTTTATATAATATGGTACAGTATAATCCCACTTATTTATGGTTAGTTACTACCTTAGTGTGGTGAATCCTGTACCAGTGTGTGTTTCTCATATATAAGCATGTGTTCTTGTATTTTCTCACACGTTTCATTTCTTTGTCATACACTTTAAAGTCTTTAATACTGGACTACTTTCCTGTATTTGAGTTCAACATCCTCTGTCTCTTTTTAAGCCCTACTACTGTTTAATTCCTCACAAGAATCCTGTGTGTTATTATCCCCACCTTACAAAGTGAAGCACAGGAAAGCCAAATAATTTGTTCAAGGCCACATAACCAGGGAGAGGTAGAGCCACAATTCAAACCCAGGGAGCTTGATTCCAGAGCCCATTCTTTTAACCATACTACTATTTTGCGATAAGACTATTTCAAAGAAACAAATGCAATGAAGATCGTACAAATACACAGAATAAACATATACCTATCATTTGGAAATACAACTTAGGGTAAACATTGCCATACTAAGAGATGTGCTGGAAGAAGAAACCACATTTCAGACCAAACCATGCATAGTAGGGATGGGTTTGCTTATCTTAAGTAGAGATTGTGTCTGGCAGTAACATATTACAGACTATTCAATGTGGAGAGATCTATTGGCTACTTACTTCGTATCTTCTCTAGAGATTCCTGGGACTGTGGTTCCTTGAATTCAAGAACTCAAATATAGCAGGTATCCTTAGATGACTTTTAAGAAAGCTTTAGCAGGTGTCACTGTAGGGTTTGTTTTTCTAATATTGCTTTTAGTTGACTATAATTTTTGGTTTACTTTCAAAATCATGATATCTCTCCCTCCCCCTGCCAGTAGTACACTATAAACACAAATGTTTAAAAATACCTGTATAGAATTTGTAAAACAACAGTTGGTCTCCACTGGCACTTTTCATTATATTTTGTTTTGATATTCTTGAATTACTGGTCCAGTTCCTCATGTTTGTGTTTGCATTTATAAACATCCATATATGTATCTCAATGGCAAAACGAATGTTGGATTTATTGCTATTCAAAAGTTAAGTATGAAAAAAATGATGCATTTTTCTGAATAGGATGAAACGAGGAGGAAGAGATAGTGACCATAATTTATCAGAAGAAGGTACTGCAGAGAAATCTAAGAAACTGAGGACTACAAATGAGCAATCTCAGACTTGTGATTGGGGTAATCTCCTTCAGGACATTATTCTCCAAGTATTTAAGTATTTGCCTCTTCTTGACCGGGCTCATGCTTCACAAGTTTGCCGCAACTGGAACCAGGTATTTCACATGCCTGACTTGTGGAGATGTTTTGAATTTGAACTGAATCAGCCAGCTACATCTTACTTGAAAGCTACACACCCAGAGCTGATCAAACAGATTATTAAAAGACATTCAAACCATCTGCAATATGTCAGCTTCAAGGTAATACTTTAAATCCTTCTTTTAAAAAATAAAGTATATTCAGTGGCTTTTTTTATCCTAAGCCAAAATATGTTCTCATGTTTTTAAAATATTGCCTTTTTAGAGAAAGTTCTTAATGATTAGAATTATTGTATACATTAGAAGCTGCAGAGGGGCACCTGGGTGGCCCATTCGGTTAAGCATCCGACTTCGGCTCAGGTCATGATCTCACTGTTTTTGAGTTCGAGCCTCGCGTTGGGCTCTGTGCTGACAGCTCAGAGCCTGGAGCCTGCTTCGGATTCTGTGTCTCCTTCTCTCTCTGCCCCTCTCCTGCTCCCAGTCTGTCTCTGTCTCTCAAAAATAAATAAACATTAAAAAAAAACTTTTTAAATCATTTAGAAGCTGCATAACTAATTCCAGCTGTTACTTTTATCATAATTTTTAAGTTATTTTTTTATTTTTATCATAATTATTCATAATTTATTAAAAGAACAGAAGCAGCTACTAAATAAGCATAAATCATTTACTAAAGCTGTCAGTCACATTGAATTATTTTGAATAAGTTTGAGGAAAAAATATACAATAAAATAAATAAAAAATTTGAAGGGGTGCCTGGGTGGCTCGGTCATTTGAGCATCTGACTCTTGATTTCGTTCAGGTCATAATCCCAGGGTTGTGGGATCAAGTCCGCATTGGGCTCCATGCTCAGTGTGGAGCCTGCTTAAGATTCTCTCTCTCCCTCTGCCCATCTCCCCTGCTTGTGCTCCCTCTCTTAAAAAAAAAAAAAATGGAGATTATGATTGACTAAAACTTAATTGCTATTACTGTTTAATAGAGACTGAATTCTGCTTATTGATGGCTTTATGATATGGGGTTTTCAAAGAAAAAGGAGATAAAAAAATTTTTTTAATGTTTGTTATTGAGAGAGAGTGAGTGAGCATGAGCGGGGGAGGGGCAGAGAGAGAGGGATACACAGAATCTGAAGCAGGCTCCAAGCTGTCAGCACAGGGCCCAGCATGGGCTCGAACTCACAAACCCCATGACCTGAGCCGAAGTCGGATGCTTAATCGACTGAGCCACCCAGGCATCCCTAAGAAATTTTATGTAAAAGGTTTAGATGAATATATTTTAGAGAGAAATAGCAAAAAGGACGTGGAAGAATGCCAAAGAGAACTGTTTGTTTCTTTTCATTGCCAGAAGGGACATACTGGAATTCATGCAGTGATGAGATAATTGAAGTGGGGTGGCTTTTTGAGATGTCTAGAGTAGTTTAAGGAATCACAGTGGTTTATAGGAGTACAGAGGCTTATAGTATTTTGTTTTGGGGATGAATAATGGAATGTAGGCATGTTTACTAAATCTTTAACCTACCTGATAATTTTTGAAAAGTAACACATGAATACCTGATTACCCATAGCTAGCATTTATTTAACAGGTCACATTAAACCTAGATAAAGCAGTGGTTCTTAATTCAAGTTCTTTGCCAAAACTAGTCTTGTCTGCTCTCATATCATTCCTTCTTAGATGGAGATTATTTGTAATGTAATAAGCTAATAACTGTTTCTTCTGTAAAATTAAGGTTACACAGAGAAATGTAAATATATGCATAGGTAAATGGTGTGTTCTTTTCTAAGGTGGACAGCAGCAAAGAATCAGCTGAAGCAGCTTGTGATATATTATCGCAACTGGTAAATTGCTCATTAAAAACACTTGGACTTATTTCAACGGCTCGGCCAAGCTTTATGGATTTACCAAAGGTATTTGCCGGTTTTATGTTGTTGGCAGTTACTGAGAAATCCGATAGAAGCTCTGTCCTTGTAGTGGTCATTTCTTGTAGTGACCATGGGAGTGTAAGAAAAATAGTATACATAATGGAAAACTAGTTACTATTTATTTAGAATGTCAGGCAATAGGAGTTTTAATAAAGCTTTTCCTTTTTCTGATCACCTTGTGCTTCTTGATGGGAAAAGTTAAAGAGTGAGTGAATTTGCAGAGGATTCAACAAAGAGATGTACTAAAAGTGACTAAAACTGAGAAGCAAATTAGGAAAAAGACATATAGCAGCTCCTTTTTGGACTTTCAGAGCAGATTTGTGAAATTACAATCAAAGAAAAGTAGACAGTACCAGTAGTGAGAACAGGTATAGCTTATTTATAAAATCTTCTGGTAATTGTGTATAGATTTATTCCTGAGCAAATTTAGTGTACTTGGATTACTTTACAGATTTTATTTATTTATTTATTTATTTTAACTTTTTTTTTTTTTTTTTTTAAATATATTTTTGAGACAGAGAGAGAGCATGAACGGGGGAGGGTCAGAGAGAGGGAGACATAGAATCTGAAACAGGCTCCGGGCTCTGAGCTGTCAGCACAGAGCCCGATGTGGGGCTCAAACTCACGGACCGCGAAATCATGACCTGAGCCGAAGTTGGCCGTTTAACCGACTGAGCCACCCAGGCACCCCTTTACAGATTTTATTTAAAGAAAGCTTTTTTTTTTGGTGAACAGTGAACTATTTATGTTCATATATATGTTCTAACATGATCCTGCGTATAGTAAGATAGTGTCTCTAATAACTAGACTCTTAAAATAGAAAAAAAATAAGTGCATTTTTAGAAGGCAGCTGATAAAGGCCTCCTGAGTATGTTAACTAATGTTGGGTAGGTTAGCATGCAACAGTAATTTGAAAGGTTTTTTTCAGAGTACACTGCAAACTAAGATATAGATACCCCTTTACATATCTAACAGTTTAATTTACTAGAATGATTCAGGAAGAAATAGTACTAAGTTGAGTGTGTATTATAACTCAGGTGGTTATGGAATGGAATATTTGTAACAAATGTATCACCAGTTGATTTCAAAGTCTTAATTGGTGTTTAAAAAGGTTCTTTAAATACATATATTTGAGTTAAAATGTTTTCCTCCTATATAATAAGGGAAATAGGTAAGAGATTCTGTTCAGCATTTTAAGATTCTAAGTACATGAGTCAGAGCACTGACTTAATGTGCATAAAAATCATCTAAGAAACTTGGAAATTTTGGGTTACATTCCCTGTTTCAAATTTCCCCTTCCTATGAGACATCCAGGAGATTCTTATTAAGTCAGAGCACTGACTTACATGGTATAGTAGCACCTTGTTCAAGCTTCATATGGGAAATGATATATTTTGAGTTGATTTTCTGTGTACATACCATAGTTAAAAAAACAGATATGGTATAGTAAAATATACCACATGAAAAGGTATGCTGAACAAATTTAATTTCCTTTTTTTCTTGTTACTCAAGATTACCATTATACAGATCTAGTACTAGTACTGTAGTTACATGAAGTTGTTTTGTCTTTGGGAACTATGATGCATCTGGGATGGCTTCCTTCCTTATTAAATGGGCCTAAGATGCTTATGTTGTTCTTCACCTCGCCCCCCCCCCGTTTTGGCTCTTGTAGAAGATTGAAGTAGGGTGTTACTGTACCTTGGAAGTCCTGGAAGAACTGTAGAAAACATGAAAGAAGTATATTTGACCTCAGATAAATCGGAGGGAAATGGAAAAAAGAAGGCAGGGATGCAGTCATGAGGATGCAGTCATGAGTATACTAATGAAATGGGACTGTACAAGGTATAATTGAGTTTGAGGTGAAAATATTAGAAAGAGTTAACATTTAAATAGGCAAAAAGTTACCTGATCAAAATTTAAGTAGTTAACCAGTTATTTAATTGTAGAGGAAAATTAAGTTAGCGAATGTGATCATGCAAATGGTGTTTCTTTGTACTTTCTTGGCTGTTAGCTTGCCCTCATTCCTTTTCATTGCTGTAGTGAATTTATAAAGGTAAGTGGAGGGTGAGATTGGTTATGTAGAGGAAGGTGTCGGAGCATATGTTGACCTTTCTTTCCTACTCCTGGATCCTTCGTCCATTGGTTTTAGCTGATTCCACGTTACATACTCTGACCATGCTTTAATTCCTGTTACCCTACAGTGGTTCCTTGAGGTCAGATTCTGTGTCCAAAAGATAATTACATGTATATAATAAATGGAATAATAATTGGTATATTTGTGGAAAAATACATTAAAATGAATGGCTTGAAAATACTGTAGATAATTTAACGTATTTAAAGGAGTTTTAAACTTGGAATTTTATTTAGGTATGATTTTGCTTATTTTAGAATCAAATTTTCTGTGAGCTTTTTTGTTTCAAGTGAGCCTGAGTTGATATTCTAATTTCTAATGATTATGCTAGTAATTTTATTACTATTTTAATGGTTAACTATCAGACCAAAAAAGAATGCAGTTCAGTGTTACAAAACACTGGAGGTATTCTCATCCCCAATTCTGTAATTCATCTTTTTACTTTTTACTTACCAGTGATTATTGTGATTTAGAGGCTTGAAATCTCATTTTGCTACAGGTAAAAAGACTTTTCTCAAAGATAGCAAATAGTCACCTCCCTTTTTTACCATACCCCCAACAACAGAGTGAAAGGATGCTACCCCTAAAACAGTTATGGGATACATCACTAGGGTTCAGATGAACTATATGTGAACTATATGTCTTATGTGAACACTCCCTCAATTCTCATGCCTGAAAGTTGAAACTGTTTCCATTTTTTTGCTTTTTAGTCTCACTTTATTTCTGCACTGACAGTAGTGTTTGTAAATTCCAAATCCTTGTCGTCGCTTAAGATAGATGATACCCCAGTAGATGATCCATCCCTCAAAGTACTAGTGGCCAACAACAGCGATACACTCAAGCTGCTGAAAATGAGCAGCTGTCCTCATGTCTCTCCAGCAGGTATGTTGTGTTTTTTGCCAGGTAACATTTTACTAAAATGGACTGATGTATTTATCGAATTAATAACTGATCATTAACCTTGAGGGTGGGTTAATATGATTATTTCATCTCTTT